ATACTAGGATTGACTATTTCTTTCTCCCAAGAATCTTGCTGCAGTCAGTTATGTCCAGCTCAATAGGAAATATAGTTATTTCTGATCATGCTGCTGTGTTCATACAATATAATTTAAGGAACCCAGTCAACTAAACTAGACACTGGAAATTTAACCCTTCTATCTTAACAGACCACAAATTCATATCTTACTTTAGAGAGGAATTTAATTTCTACCTGTTAATTCAGCCTCCACCAATGATCCCTCATTGCTGTGGGAAACATCTAAAGCCTTTTCAAGAGGTCTTTTTATATCTTATATGTCCACTAAGAAGCAAAGGCAGAAGAACTGAGAAAAAATGTCAAAATTGAAATGTCAAATGTCAAAAAAATACTCAAATACACAAAAACTCATCTGTACAGAAGCTTAAAGAGATTTCTGCAGTTCGGTGCGCTTTAAATTTATTATGGACAAAAGATGCAGAAGGGAAAATCAGACTTGCTAGACAAAAAATTTACGAACATGGAGATAAAGCGAGAAGATACCTATCATATCTGACGAAGAAAAAAGCAGACTCCAGAATTACAGTATCTCTTCAATTATAGACAGTCTGGGTAAACAGACTTTTGACACTGTAGCCATTAATGAAGCGTTTAATGAAAGAACTTTCTATGAAAAAGTGTACAAATCTGGACTACAAACTGATACAACTGAAAGAATTCTCTCCTCTTTTAACCTTCCTAGTTTGTCTGATGACCAGAAAATATCTTGAAGCTCCTATATCTAAGGAGGTACTCAACGCTATAAAGGGCTGCAGTCTGGTAAAGAGTTCCATGATTTATTGACTGACCCGCTAATATATGTTTAATGACTCTTTTAAGAAAGGCATTTTACCACAGTCTTTGAGAGAATTGCACATCTCTCTAATAAAAAAAAAAGTAAAATCTCCTGTGCATCATACATCATCTCTCTATTAAATACTGATTTGAAACTCCTCTCTAAGGTATTAGCAACAAGACTAGAAAGCTTGCTCCCTGTTCTTATAAATGACAAGCAAACTGGATTAATTAAAGGTTGTAATTCATACAATAACATGCGCAGATGACTAAATACAATCCAGGTTTTTTAACAGCAGTCTTTGAATGGTCTGGTGCTTTCTCTGGATGCCGAGAAGGCATTCGACCATGTGGAAATGCCATACTTGTTTTATACATTACACAAATTTGGCTTGAGTGAAAAATATATACGTATAGGGCTGGACCTAGAGAGATGGAACACCCTCCCAATATCCTGTGTTGCACTCCTAAAAATGAACATTATCCCCAGGTTACTTTACAAATGATCCCAGTCATGTTCCTCCATAAGACTATCAAACAGTTAAATAGTTGGTTTTGCTCCTTTATATGGTCTAAGAATAAAGCACGCCTGAAAATAGCTACGCTATGTCTTCCATCCTCAGAAGGGGGTCTCGATCTCCCAGACATTAGAAAATTTCAGCTTAGTGTTAATTTGTGCACTGTAGCCGACTGGGTGCATAATAAGCCTACATCTCTCCGGTTGGATGTAGAAAGTTCAATGTCTAAATACCCTTTGAGTAATCTTCTGTTTATTAGAAAAAAAACATTTTTAAAGTCTGCTTGTACTAACCCTATTACAATCTCCACAGTTAATGCATGGCATGCCATCAGAAAATTAGAGGGCAGATCTCAATTCACAGACAGAAGTCTTCACTCCAATATGTGACAATCCTGATTTTCCCCCTGGACTAATGGACAATAACTTCCGGACTTGGGTGAATAAATGAATATCTACTTTACACAAACTACTGGAAGACCCTATCATGATGTCTTTTAGTCAGTTGGAAAGGAAATATGATATTCAAAAACAGGATTTCTTTCGATACACCACAATCCTTCAGTGTCACAATATCTCACACCTAGAGAGACAGCTCTTTTTGCAAAAATCTGGCAGTTCTATTAGCTTATTCTATAATATCCTTAAGGGGTATAACATCACAAACACCTCCTTTCTGAAGGGCCTATGGGAAAGAGAACTTAATGTTAAGATAACGGATGATGCTTGGAATGATGCTTGGAAAAGCACAAAAACACTGAATGTCTGTAACCTAGTGAAAGCCTTTAGGATACAGCGGTCTGTTAATGTGTCAGTTGTCATTGCTCTGCTCCCCTCTTGCTCCCTTTGCTCCTCCTCCTTCCCTGTGTGTGTGTGTCTGATGAGGGTGTGGCCTCTATTCACCTCACCTGTGTGCTATCTTACCTGCGCTCAATCAATTCATCAGCCTCACCCTTCAAGAACCCCGGTCTTCCATTCATCGCCAGATTGTTCAGCCAACTTAGTGGTAACTTTAGTGGCGCCCTTCAGTGTTTAGCTTTCAACTATATGTCCTCTCGTGATCTTCCTGCACTAGCTCCTCCGTCTCACCATTTCTCTCCTGGGCTCCAGGAACCCTCGTGTGCAGTCCAATTTCCAGAGTCAGCTCTCCTGTGCCTGTGTCTCCGGTCTCTTTTGCCATTTCACCTGTCTGGTCCTGCCGTGGCCGCCCCTCATCCCCCCCCAGTGTGTGTGTGTGTGGAATAAAGACCCTTAAACCGTCCATCTGGTCTGTGTGTCTGCTCTTGGGTTCAGTCAACTAGCCCTGACATCAGTAGCCGAACAGTGCTGTGACATAATGGTCGAGCAGTCAAAGGCTTGCTTTGAGAAAGCCAGGCAGTTGGTGTCTTTCAAACTTATTGACCCTGAACTCTTTTCTTTTTGTTTAAGAACACTTCAACAATCTTCAGAGCGCTTTACTGAAACGCTGAAAGTAAGCTATCACAACTCCCATTACATCTGCAGAGTCAGAGGGGGGTTTTCAGTACACTGAAGAGGATCCTTTCCAGAAGTGCAATGGGACAGGACAGGCTAAATGCACTGATTATGCTGTCTATTGAGCGGAACTTCATCCAAAAATCACCAGACTTTAATGACATGATGATTAACCTGTTTGAGTCACAGAAAGGCTGTCAATGTGAGCTGCTTTTTAAATAAGGTATGCCCAAGCTCTGAAACAACTCTCACTTCTACAATTACTTGCATTATTTTTTCTTTGGTTTTGTAGATTTATTTTTGGTACATGGTGTTGTAGCGCAAATCGCATGTGCTGAGAGAGCGAGAGAGAGAGAGATTTTTTGGGCATCAGGCCATTATTTATTTCAGTGTTGCTGTAGAGCCAGCCATCACTGTATATATATATATATATATATATATATATATATATATATATACATATATATATATACATATATATGTGTGTGTGTGTGTATATATATAATCACTAATTTCAGAAAGAAGGGGTCTTCATCATCCAGTCCACAAATTTACTAGGATCCAGTTTGAGGAGCTCCCCAAGCACCTCATTCTTCCGTACTGGCTGGAAGAAGAAGCAAAGATGCATGACCAGCCAACAAAATGCTTATTGAAATGGTCTACCATTTTCACTTTAACTGATATAACAATGTCATCTGTTTTGATTGCCGTGGGTAATTGAGAGGATCTGTTTTCCAAAACTGTTTGCTTTTCTGATTGACTGGGTGCATTTGTTCCTAAAAGACTGTCCTTAAAAGGCAGTCCGGTGTGTAGTTGGAGGCCTTTGCTTTATGCCAGACCAGGTGTTTTTGATGGATGAGTTCAGACAGATCAGAATTAAACCAAGGGCTATAGGGTTTTTTGATTCAAACTCATTTTGTAGGAGCATGTTGGTTCATGTTGGAAGTTAATGAGTTTTTGGAACCTCAACAGAGGGGATAAGGACAAAATAAAAATGGTAAATAGTCTGTACTACAGACACTCAATGCGCTGTACACTACATGCCACACTCACCCCATTCACACACATTTATACAACTGCTGGCAACTGCTCACCAGAACGGAAATTAATCATTCATACACACTCATATACCAATGCACAACATTGGGAGCAATTTGGGGTTCAGTGTCTTGCTCAAGGACACTTTGTCATGCATAAAGAGGAGCCGTAATCTCAGACTTTAAACTATTTTAAAGAATTTAAAATCTCTAGTTCTCAAGTCTCTCTTCTTGTGGGTGGAATGTATGCAACTGTGGCATGGTAATTAAATGGCATGTATGGTGTTATTGTGTCTTTTAATGATACCTCAATGATGAGTTGAAGATCAGGGGCCTCATGTACTAAGATTTGCGTGGATTTCCTACTAGAATGTGGCGTACACTGAAAGAGTGAAAGTTCCGTACGCACAAAAAAATTCAGATGTATCAAAACGTGCTTACGCAGAATCCCGCGCACATTGTCTTTGTACATCGCAATCAACGTGAAATTGATCGCACATGGACGAATGCAACGCTCCAACCTGTCCCCTCCCTCAATAACACCGATTTGAATATGCTAATTAGTATAAATAGGCCTAGATAGTGCTGTCTTTAGGAAAATGGAAAAAGCCAGGAAAAAAGAAAGTGTGAGTTGGAGGTGCTGCTGACGGAGGTAGAGGCCAAAAATTTATATATATTTTTATTTGGCTCTCTATCGTCCGGCATTAACACCAAAAGAAAGACAACAGAATGGGAAAGCGTGGCACAGGCAGTAAACTCTGTAGGGTCAGAGAACCGCACCGCAGCAGAGTTGAAAAAGAAGTGGTCAGATGTGAAGATGGAGGTGAGGCGACAGACATCTGCCCATCGCAAAAGCCTTCAGGCCACAGGTGGTGGAACCGGGGTGGAGGAGCTGATCCCATTTGACCATAGAGTAGCAGCGATTTGGGGCTACACGGTCCTCACAGGCGTGCTGGTGAAGGAGACACCGAGTTCACCCGGGATCCCAATGAAGGTAAATAATGTTACATTTTTTGGATTAACCTTCCTACACTTAGTAACCATTTGCTTTTATAGATTTTGATTAATACCCACCCAGCACGCTGCATGGTTTTTACGTTTGAAGACAATTATGCCAATTTACGCCATAAGAAACACACATTGACTTGTTTTCTTTGGTTTATTTTATTTTCAGTGGAGCATCAAGTGGCACCCACTCCACCCCAGTACAGTCCACAGCCACGCCGCGCACCACCTTGGACTCTCCTGTGCAGGCTGGCGTCTCCAGGGGCACTTCCTGTGCTCCCCCCGATGCTGGGTCCCATCCAACCGGCCGTGTTCTCACAAGTGCTGTGCTTGAGTCCCAAAAAGAAATTATAAGAGGCATCGGTGAAATTAACTGCCACCTGAGTAATGTTACAAATGCACTCACCAGCATCAGCCAATCATTAAAATAATTGGTTAAAAAGTAAACATTATCTCCTTTTACCTTTTTTATATTGCTGCAATTAGTTGGTGTCGGGTCTGAATGGCACCTGGGTTGTGTTGAGCGTTAATGGGTCCAGGGTCTGGTTCCTGTAGTTGCCCCACCACCTCAACCAATGGCAGAGCGTGTCTGTGCGCAACATTGTGGAGGACAGCACACGCCAACTCAATGCGGCACACCTTCTCCGGACGATCTAAAAGCATGCCCCCGGTCCTGTCCAGGCAGCGCCACCGGCTCTTCAGCTGGCCGATCCCTCTCCACAACTGACCGGGTGCGAGAATGGAGATCATTATACCTCCGCTCCTGGTCAGTCTGTGGGTTGGCAAGGGGGGTCATCAGCCACGTTGCCAGCGTGTAACCGCGGTCTCCTAATGAGCAAATTAATGATTATAGCACATTCACCTTTTCTGTTGATTATACATAATCTCACTTAAATGCTTTTGTGTCACTTACCAATAAGCCACCCATCGTGCACTCTGCCGGCTTGAAGCCTAATCCCAACCATGCTGTTACTGAGAATGAACGAATCATGGGTTGATCCAGGCCACCTCGCCACAACATTAGTAAGACGCATTTGTGCATCACAGATTATTTGCACATTTATGGAATGGAAATGCTTCCTATTCACATAAGCAAATCATACATCGTATGGGAAACTTATATACCTAGCCGACATGTGGATGATCCCGTCCAACACAGCTGGCATGGCGCGGCTAAGAGCTAAGTGGGACATCCCTGAACGGTCTGCCAGTTCCCTCTGGAATGACCCTGTTGCCAGGAACCCAAGTGTTGTGAGCACCTGTAAGGGAACTGGCAATGCGTGGCTCCTCGCCGTCTCTCTCTCCAAGACCTGACCCAATTCAGCACAGAGTTCCAAGAGGATAGCTCTTGGAAATCTGAAACGGCTAATAAGCCAATCATCATCTTGGACCAAAAAGTCATGATAGTCATGGAAAACCCGTTCCCTGCGGATTCGGCCATTAGCCAGGTCCTCTAACAAGGCCAACACTGCTATCATCAACATATCGATAATTGCAACATTTTGCGCATGCGTTTATATGCTTTACACTAATTGGATAATTGATGCTAGATTTTTCCCGTACACCCAAGGTGCAAATTTGATGGCGCCCTTACTCCCTTGTATTGTGAAAGGGTTACGGTACGTACAAGACGTGACGTCACCACGCTCCCAGTGAGCGCTAGTTGTTGTTATGTGTGAGCCATGCTGATGAGACGGCGGCACATCGGTCCGCACTTTATTGTTAACTGTTAAATAAATATGCCAAGAGGCTAAAGATAATTCGAGTGTGTTCTACTTATCCTCCATACGCAGTAGAGGACTGCTCACTGCAGTAAATAACCCCTTAACAAAAATAATCTGCAAATTATTTAAAATTGTGTAATTGATTGATTGATTGTAAATAATAATGACTTTCACATGCAGTGCAACTGTCCCAAGAGCAATTGTTAATTTCGGCTATGCAATTTCAATGCATCGTCTGTGAGTGTCGCCAACTGACAACTGACATAAGCAAAAAATATGTACGTACGCCAGCAATGAAGCTGCCGTGGAGGACCGCACATTCTCACGTTCATTTCAATTTTAGTACATCCGAACGTGAACGTGAAAAATGGTGTATGCACGAATTTTGTGCGTAAGCAACATTAGTACATGAGGCCCCAGGACTTGTGCATTTGAATGAGTCTATTTGCAAATAAGTCACTGAAACCTGTGTCTAGCTGAAAAACATCGGGGTTAAGCATGGCATACAAATAGACGCAATGTATGGTGCTAATGGGTATTTAGGTGAATCAGAATCAGAATTAGAATCAGAAATACTTTATTGATCACCGGGGGAAAACTGTATGGACGGTTCACCCTAATGACTCATATGTAATTGTTGTGGCTTTCTATCACGAGTAGACCTCCTCACCTCTGGGTGAGGGTGTTCTTCGTGGGTCAGGGTTTAAGCTCTTGTGTCAGAATCTAGGTGCTTGTTGTTTTTATGCTCTTCCTCAGGTCTGGCAAGGACAGTTGAGTCATCTGTGTCTTGCCTCTCTTTGACTCCACTTTCTTTAGGTGATGAAACAGGATTAGGTGAGTATTCAATGAAAATTGTATTTGTATAGCGCCAAATCATAATAAAAGTTATCTTAGGACACTTTTCAAAATAGAGCAGGTCTAGATCGTACTCCTTATAAAATTATTTACAGAGACCCAACAGTTCACACCATGAGCAAGCACTTGGCGATGGCGGCAAGGTAAAACTTCCTTTTAAGAGGCAAAAACCTTAGACAGACCCTGGCTCTAGGTGGGTGGCCACCTGCCTCGACCATTTGGGGTGAGAGAGACAGAGAGAGAGAGATAGAATGAGTTAAAGACAGAAGGACAGAGACAGAAGTAACGACAGAAGGACAGAGACAGAGACAAAGGTGCACAGCAACAACAGTAGCAACAACTACACTAATAGTAGTGACTGATGTTGATAATGATGATAAATATGAAGAGAATGATGATGACGATGACAACAACAACCATGGGGAACAATGAGCAGTGATTATAGTAATAATAGTAACAGTAGTAATAATAATAGTAATAATAATAATAACAATAATATCAGTAATATTAGCAATGTGGCTCAGAGGAAGAGCGGGTTGTCCCCTAATTGGAAGGTTGTTGGATCGATCCCTGGGTATCCTTAACCAGTAACCTGAGTTGCAGTCATTATATGAATCATTTTCTGATTTGTCACTCATGTCTGCTTGTTTTTGTGTGTTCGCTACACTTGCCTTTGCCTGTGATGTGTTTTTCTTTCAGGCATAGGTCTGGCATGGGATGGAGTACCCATAGGTACCCCAAGTAGGTAAGTCATTCACCAAAAATAGGAGATTTATTTTCAGGCTTTGCACCACAGTCCTTTAAAGTAGCCTTAATTAAACCCCTTCCTAAAAAACACTTTTGACCCAGTGGTTTTAGCCAACTATAGACCTATTTCTAACCCCCCCTTTCTCTCTAAAATTCTTGAGAAGGTAGTTGCCAAATAGTTGTGTGACCTTCTACATAACAGGATTTTCAGTCAGGATTTAGGGTACATCACAGCACAGAGACAGACAGTGGACTTGTCTTTGTACCTGTCTTGTTAGATTTTGCTGCATTTGACACCATTGACCTTCACATTCTATTTCAAAGACTTGGTCATCTAATTGGCATTAAACTAAACTGGTTAAAGGCCTATTTATCAGATCGATCTCAGTTTGTACCCGTTAACAATGAATCCTCCATGCACACTGCTTGGACCAATCCTTTTTATACTCTATGTTTCCCTTAGGACACATTATTAGGAATCACTCCATTACTTTCAACGTTATGCAGATGATACCCAGTTATATCTATCAATCAAGCCTGATGAAATTCATCAATTAGCTAAATTTAAAATTACAAGCATGCCTTAAGGATAAAAACCTGGATGTCCTGCAATTTTCTGATGTCCGACAGAGGTAGAGCGGGTCGTCATTCCTCATCAAGTTGACGGTAAAGGCAACCCAGCCCTCAAAAGGAAGAAGATCACTATTCACAGAATAGATTTCTTACTCTTCTTCATCATCAATAATTTTGTTAAGTGGCCTAACAGTTATGTCAGGTAGGTATTTGCTTTTCCTCATGTCAATCATGCTTACTTGGGTTCCCATGTCTAACAGATCACTGACTACTAAGCCATTTAAGTTACAATAATAATAATAATAATAATAATAATAATAATAATAATAAACTTTATTTATATAGCACCTTTCAAAAACTGGTTTATAACATGTTTTTACATGGTTAAAACAACACAAAAAACACAAACAACACTAAGGACCATAGCAGCATCAGTAACAATATATAGAATAAAACAATAAACATTGTAAAATATAGTAAATAAGTAAGTAAATAAAAAGACAATAAAATGGAAAGCAGAACCACGGTGAATAAAAGGTTAGAAAAAGGGTCACAGAAAGGCAATAAGCCTATAAAAGCATTTTATGAAGAGACTTAAAAGAAGTAATAGAATTTGCCATCCTGGTCTCTTCTGGAAGGCTGTTCCACAGTTTGGGGGGCTCTGATGGCAAAGACTTCACCTCTGTTTTTTAATCTTGATTTGGGAACCACCAGGAGAGCTGCATGTGGAGGCACATGGGGGATTAAGTAATCACTAAATGCGTACAATATAAAACGTTTACATCACAGCAATTTATGTGAGGTTTTAATACATAACCTACAGGATGAAACAAGGAGACGTGACCTGTCGTTGAAATCTGTAGGAGGGATGAATGGATTGGGAAAGGGTTTAGGGGTAAAGGGAAGAATGGATGAGGGTTGAGGGATTGTAGTGGAAATTCTTCCATAATATTGAGGGCTCTATCTTGCACTCAGCGCAATTGACTTTGTACACTGGCGCTTGTATAATTCCTATTTTGCACTCTATCCACATTGGAATTTTCCCTCCACCGACGCACGTCCTTAAATTAGAGAATGAACTTGCGCTCTGGGGGGCGGTTCAGCGAAAAGAGGAGGCGTGTTCTGGCGCAAACGTTCCCTGGTGCTATTTTGCTGTTTCAGAAAACAATTCCGCCACAGACCAGGAAAAACCTAGTCTAAAGTCAGTGGCGCTTATTCAGATGCTATTTTAAGGGCACAGACTTGAGGGGATGTGCCTGAGTGGCAGCAGCAACATCGCCACCTGGTCAAGACGGGCATTAATACTTTGCCGCATCCCGGACAGCTCCCGCTCCAGCATGTCAAACCCGGTTTGACGCAGGAACGGGTGGTCCTCCAGCATGTAGTGGGTCTGGATCCTCTGCACCTTGGTGTTTGCGTCGCTCCCTCCTAAGCTGGCCCTTGCGCACTGCTCGGCCCGTGCGCACTGCTCCCGAGGCCAGGGTCTTCTTCCTGGAAGCTGCGTTACATTGTTTTGATTCATTGTATGACTGTGCTACATTTATTTCATGTCAATAATGACACTTTTCTGTATTTTACGGCCCTGACGAGAACGTCGGTCTCCTCGGCTGTGAACCGCTCCTGTCGTGCGCCTGGCAAATCCGCCGTTATAATAGCAATCCGCCATGGAACAAGCGTGCCTGCTTTTAAAGGGAATGTGAGATGACGCTCTGATTGGTTTATTGCACGTTACGCCCAAACCACACCTATGACTAATGTAGCTACTTCAGACCAACCCATTTTAGATTTGCGCCGGGCGCAAGAGTCATTTATCCCGCCGGCATAAAAGCAACAGCGCCCGAGATCTGCCCACAAAGCTACTTGCGTTTTGCGTTTGATACTTGCGTTTCAGATCGGCAAGATAGAGCCCTGAGAGTTGCTAGTTCTCTGAAGAATCACAAACCCAGTGTGATGAATCAAATTCCTTTACTGCAGCATGAAGAGAAGACCACAGCATAGACATTCTCTCCCTACTTCCAGAATGCTCTACCTTATATAACTTTCAGTACATCCAACCAAAAACCCATCTGTTATTTGTTGTATTTACACACTGCTGTAAATCACACATGAAAGGTTGAGGTCATCAACACAAATGGTCCTTTAATCTGACCCTGTGACCGTGAGTCTAATCAGTCACCCGCTACCATAAAAACACGACCCCCTAACCAAACTGTATACATTTACTATGCCTCCTAAAACATTCATCTACCACAGGATGAAGGGTTGAAGGTTTAAGGATGAAGGGTTGAGGGATGAGTAATGGAGGATGGACGTTTGAGGGATGTAGGGATGAAGGTTGAGGAATGAAGGGGTATCGGAAGGAAGGGTGAGGGATGAACAGATGGAAGAAAGGTGGGTTTGTTAACGGAGGGATGAATGGACGGAGGGGTTCGGCTAGATGGTAAAAGGGAACCAAGTGGGTGGTGAGACTCTGAGTGAGGGAGCTGTCTCTTCATATCTCTTGTCGAGAGCCACTAAAGAAACTTCGACTCATGAAGTTTTTGATATTGTTTACGTGTTGTGACGAAACCAATTTCGTGCGGGTACGATAATCTTACCGATGGAATGGGCGAGGATAAAGGATAAAGCTGTGAGAGTGAAAGGACATCGAGTGAAGGAAAACGGCAACCAGATTGTCCATCTGGGGGAGTCAGTTGAAGATGGTGGCTGTAAACAGTGGGACTGGAGTTGTAATGGTGTTTGGGGCTGGTGCCAATTGTCTGAATTTCTGTAACGAGAAGCAAGAGAGTGCATCGGCGAAACTAGGGGGAACTTCCGTATTAACTGCATTATATCAAGGCGGTGGTACTGTCCCTTGTTTATGATGTCAGATGGTAGTGGTGGGCGGCTGTGGCTCAGAGGCAGAGCGGGTCGTTCCTTAATTGGAAGGTTGTGGGTTCGATCCCCAGCTCCTGGTGCCACATGTCGAAGTATCCTTGAGCAAGATACTGAACCCCGAATTGCTCCTGATGCCGTGCATCGGTGTGTGAATGTGTATGAATGTTAGTTTCTGTTGGATGGACTTTGCCATCACTGAGTGAATGTGTGTGAAAGGGTGAATGTGGCACGTAGTGTAAAAGCGCTTTGAGTGGTTGGAAGACTAGAAAGGCGCTATACAAGTACAGGTCCATTTAGTGGTGATGATTTTCTTGGACCATTTGTGACCCCAAGGAATAGCTGCTATGATTACTGGGCACATTTTGAAGATGGCAGAGGAAGAAGAGAGGGATGAGAATTCAAGTGACCATCTGGCTGAAAACTTCCTGCCACCGGAGTGGCAACTTCGGCGTGTTCGTGGAGGGATGAGACAGAGAAGGTTATGGAAGGGAGGTGTGATGAGAAGGATCGATCTTAGGGTAAGATGTGGATGACGTAGTTTAGGTGGCTGAGCGACGAGAGAAGTTGTTGTTTAGTGTCTGTGAGCCAGGAGGAAATATGGAATGAGTAAGGAAATCCTGTAGACTTTCTTCGTGGGCGGGGATGCTTGGAGTGAAACGGTGTCAAGGATAATGCCAAGAAATTTCAGGGATGTGCGTGGACCCTCCGTTTTCTCCAGGGAGAGAGGGACGCCAAGCTCATGGAAAGCGGAAATTGGAGTATTGAGACCGTGTGATGGGGGAGAAGATGGTGGTGTGACAGTGAGAAAGTAGTCTAGCAGTTGGATGATGTATGGGAGTTTGTAGTTGTTTGTCAAGATCCGACTAAGTGCTTGGGACAATGAATTTAACTTTTTGGGGCTTGCGTACGAAGGTCAGGCGCACGGCAAAGTAGTGTGCCAAAGTGATGCTGGTAGTCGGGATGGATGGGAAGGGTTTTAACTCTACCGGGCTCTATCCCGGTCGTCCAAATGACCATGACAATGTTGCGTATTGCATGGAGAAATCTGGGCTGGGAATTAAGCTATTGGTCTATGATAAATCTCTTTCTCTTATATATTTCCTGGTGGCGACATGGGTTGGACTGATTCCGAATGTAGGGAACATTGGACTAGGGAATGGACCGATCATGAATGTATCTTTAAGAAATGAGAAGAAACGGGAGGAAACTGAGGGTTTTGGCTGGTAGCATTGCCATGGATTGTAGTTGTTGGCAAGCTCTGTGAGGCAGAGTTGGGAAGGGAGAAGCGGAGGCAGCCAAAGAAGATGGGATGGGGAAGTTAGAAATGAGAGAAGAGGAAAAGATGCTGGGATGGAGGGATGTCCGTCGGACACCGAAGACTCCCCTGGAGTGTTGGGGGCAAGGGCCCGATGATATTAGAGTTGATGAAGGCTGGGAGCATTGAGGAACGTTGGGGAATATTGGGGAACGTGGATTGTTGAGCGGAGCCTAGGTGGCTGACATGAAGGGATGGTAGGCGAAGGAGAGGACTCGGAGATTTCAGGAGTTTGCCAGTCGTCTTCAAACGTGTTGCTGTCTGAAGGGTTGAGGATGAGCTTGTGGTTCCAGGTATTCGTTTTTTGTATCTCTTGTCTGATGCAGATCATGTGGAAATCTAGTGGAGGAGGGAGGGAACGGATAAGGTGTGCTTAAGTACATTTTGAGGGGAAATGAGATGAGTGCAAGGTGTGGTCTTTGTTTCTGAACCAGTTATAAAACTTCCTAAGTCGACTATTAGGGGGCAGCCCTAGTTTCTACAGTAGCCCAGAATGGAGAAACCAAACACTGGGTCTATAGATAAGGGCGTTTTTGTTTGCAACATACAACTACAACAATGCCACTAAATTCTACGCACCGGTCCTTTCAAACTAGAGTCCCATTTAAAATTACCCGTAAAAAATTACTCAGTAATCTAAATAACAATAATAATAATAATCACAATAACAATAGTAACATATTGATTGATTATAAGAGAAAAGAGGTATCAATAAGATGGTTTTTACTAAAGTATATTCTATAAGACAACAGAACAATGCAACCTTAGTAAAGAGAATGGAAGACACCATAGTAGTGTTGTTAGATTCATGAAGTGTCTTAATGTGTGCACAGAGTGCAAATGTATTGTTCTTCATTTTAGAATGCATTTTAAAATTGTAATCCTGCTAATCCCATTTTTACTAAATGTAAAGGTAATCTTATTACATCTTTTTTCTGTAACTGTAACAGATTAAAGCTGCCTTCTTTTGTATCCTTATCATGTAATTCCATTACTTATATTTACTTATATATAGTTTTTACTTTTTTGTTTTTTTTTAAAGACAAGTCCCAGGGGCCAGATGCACCAATTGCATACTGTTATGGTGAGGAGCATACCTTCCTTTCAATCCTTTTATAAAATATTGAATGCATTAGAAATGGTGCATGCATGGACTACTTTAATACATCTGGTCCCTGGAGTGTGTTTTGAACAGATAACAGCTGCTTGGCACCTTAAATCCAACCACAGACTTCCTCTGCAACCAACTTCTCTTTGGGAAATTTCTACATCTTGGACCTTTTGCCACTTTCCACCACCACAGATCACAGAGTAGACACAACTGTGGCTACATCATGGCTAAACAAATAATTGATTCCACATGAGTCTCATTTCACCACCCATGCTGATTTCTTACATCTACTACATCTGATCAGTGATGTCATGTGTGCTCATTTTGGTTTGCGTTTCACACATTTAACCAAAAGACTTTCTCTCACGGGATTTAACGTTTTATTTAACGTATTTTTTGTTTGTTTGATGGTTACATATGTGTGAAACAGATCTGGGAGGTGGACTGCCGGATTTTGACCCATGAAGGGTGATGGTAAGCAGAACCCAGACACAGACTATGAAACAGCTTCCTTGGGAAAGAGGGTGGAGGCTGGATGCCCTTTGCCAAACTTGTCGGGAAATACATGGCAAGGCTATGATGTGTAATCACAGATGATGCAATGTTTTAAAATCAGGGCAGAGAGTTCATTCATCTGCATAGAGACTGCTTTCATCAAGGACAAAGTTCTCTGTTTGAAGTAGCTCAGTGTGTATTTATGTGATAAAATCAACACTGCAAGAACATCTCAAGAAAGTAAAAAAGCCTTGTTTCTGGGAAACAATGTTGTCAAGAATGTTTTGCATTATTTTTGTATTTATTTATTTTTTATACTTTATTAATAAATTGTTCTTTTCACTCCTTATTTATTTTACACACACACACACACACACACACACACACACACACACACACACACACACACACACACACACACACACACACTGAAATACACACATCATGCACTTTTGGACATGCAAACAGGGAGAGAGATGGTGGAGTGACTGGAAAGTAATCTGATTTTAAGAAAATATATCTAACTTGGTCTTAATAAAATATCATTACTAATAGATTTGACTAGTAACAAGTTACAACAATAGTTTGCATAATATCTTAGAGTAAAGAAGTATTTTAATTATTTAAGAGTAACTGCTTCTCAATTCAAGAGAAAGTAGTCTTGACCCAGTGTTGTAAATTAAGCTGCTGTTTAGTTTTCATATAAATAAGATAATAAGAATGCTTCTGGTGCCTTTATTTAGGTCAGTCACTTATTTTATTATTCTGTTTGAAGAAATTGGGTCTTATAAGATTTTGTTTTGATAATTAATAATCTTAGATTAAGGTACAACTTCATAAATTCAGCTCAATAAATTAACCAAAATACTTTTTACTTAAATAACTGAGTTTTCTTCGCTTGTAATAAACACAACTTGGTTAAATGTTTGGCATTTCTTCTAGTTTTAAGGCTCATTATTGTCTTTCAGTAGCTAGATTTTAATGCTAGTTTTAAGAATTCTTCTCAAGCAAAACTGGCTGTTTTTACAGTGAATTCTATTTTTTCTTTCTTTCGATGAAACCCCCATGTGAGGTTTAAAACTTGTTTGCGGGAATACTTCCGACAACCATTCAGTAGAACCACTTAACATAAGTTACTGGATGTTGGCATCAACATGAAGAGTTTAAGGCATATTTGGACCAGGTCTCAAAATGAAACAACAAAATATGTCATTTGTAATTACCCCCCAGGACAACACAGGATGACATAATTTGTCAAGGTCTTTCAATACTGTAATGTTGGAGAAAAAAAAGTGAAAGATAATGCTTTTGGTTAAAGTAACTTTTTAGTCAAGGTTTGAGAAACATCCTACTCCTGCTTTGTACTTTGTGTCTCTACATGAACATGTGTTGGTTTCGATAACAACTAATGCTTTTGTTACTCATTCTCGGAATTGTGTGTGTGTTACAACATCCAAATGAAGCTCTTCATCATGAGGTGCAAGGAAGCAGAACAATGTAGTCCTGTTTTAATATTTGAAGTCCTAAATCCTAAAGTGATAGACAGTGTAGTTTTAGGAAACGTTATTGTACATTTTCACAGCTCTTACTGTGAAAAAACTTTTAAAGCTGAACTAATTAGTGTTTTTATATTAACAATGTGTGAAATGAACAGTGTTGGGTTAGTTACTCAAAAATCTATTACTCATTACTCTTTTCAAAAGTAATAGAATGACTTTACTTATTACTCCTGGCTAACTCAATTACAATGTTAGCTATATTACAAAATTCTGACTTTTTCACCAGTGTGCAAATATCAGGGTAATCGCCCGGTCAGCGCAGCTAAAGCCCAAACGGGCAGATTTCTGCAGCCTATGCATCCAAAAAAGATACAGGCTGGATGAAAAGCACCCCTGGCTCAAACGGATGACGAGACACCATCTTTTCAACAACATCTGTTATTTAGAGACAATCTATACATTGTCCTTCTTATTATCAATGTAACACAGCTGTCAGGTTGTCAACCAGTCCCCCTGTACATTAGCCAGGTAATCACAGTTCAAATGAAATGAAGCAGACACGTAAGACATTACGTCATTTTGTCATGGTGTGACTGGTTGCACTGATGGAACATTCCTATCATGGTTAGTGAATCATGTTTATTATTATTATATATATTATTATCATTATGTGAATATTTCTGAGTGAGGATTATTGTGGTGAATCTCAAATGACTTTAAGATCCTAGAACTGGATTAATGTAGTTTAAAAGTGAGTTTTTGAATACATATTTTCACATAGTTTTAATCTGTTTTGACAGCATTTCAGTGTATGTGTTGATAATTTGCACATGTTGAAATACAGTCAGAAAAGACATTTAAATGCAGTTTGTTGAGTAAACCATTTAAATGGAAAATGGAAAATTAAAAATTTAGAGTTTGAACACCTTTATCACCAAAATCATCATATTGGGTCAGACTATGGCTATGATTCCCTGGGCAGATAATATGGCTGACATCCTAACAGTAAAAATTCCACATCTGGTTAACATTGCGTTTGAGCACCAAGCATCATTGATGTAAACAGAGTCTGCCTCCTTTCCTCTTACCAGAGTCTTGTATTCTGTCATCTGCCCATTGAGAGCAATAGCTTGATCTGGGATGTTGTGGTGCTGCCAGCTCTCAGTGAAGATGAGGGCACAGCAGTCTGATTGTTGAGGTAGCCTTTTCATCCATTTTATTTTTCTGTGACCTGACATCAGCCAGGAGTAGGCTGGGTAGTGGAAAAGTCTCATGTCCAAGCCGATTCTCTTTCATGGCCACAGTAGTTTCTCCTGGTTGAAACTAATCTGCAACTACACCACTATATGCCACTAAATCCTTCACACTGGTCCTTAATTTTTGCCAATTCATCTGCTTCCTTCTGTTCAGCGCAAAAAGGTGTGATTGCCATTTGCAGCTATATTTGTATACAGTATTGTTTAATATACAGTCAGTGTATAACACTTGTACATAGACCATGTGGAAGGGTTATAAAAAATTAAAACCTATTGCAATTCTTTTAGAAGACCTTATGTGATGCGGCTTCATCAAAAAATCGGAACTAATGTTGAACAAATACATCAGAATCACCAAAGTCTGAGGGCAATCAGATTTCCCAGACCTGGAATTACTCTTGGTGGAAACTAATTCACGTCCAGCTCCAATTAAAAAATTACTGAACTAAAATATTCTCTCTCAACTAAAATGTAATGTAATGGGTTTTGTGAATGGTGACGTCAGCCCACTGAGGAATACCAAGAATTCTGGGAGAGTGAGTCAGAGGCAGAACAAGTAGACTTGTGTTAGCTTCTGATAAAGCTGTCCTCTGGGTGATGACAGAGCTGCAGCAAATCACTCTTACATGGTTTATCTAGAAATAGCATTTGGGAAATTTACAGTCCCATTAAGGAGATTAGTCACCACTGCTGACTGATCCTGTGTCGGTGAGAGTGATGTAATGTGATGAATGAATGATACCGAGCCCGAAATGCATATTTGTTTCTTGCCATATTTATTCCATGATTAGTGTGTGAGGATGGAAATATGGATTTAATGACCTGAGTGCTACTAACGTTTGCTTTCTGTAGCAATGACAAAAGGACTAAACACCAATCGGGGCCTTACAGTGTTAATATTCAACATGCAGTACCTGTACGTTGCACATTGTTGTAGCATTCCAATCCCTCACATGATAATAGCCATATCATTCATGAACAGTGGTTTCATAAATAGCATTTGTGTATCCCTATCTTAAAAAGGTTCTTTCTACTCTTATTCTGCCACACTAGGCTTTCCTTTCAAAGCAGAGGCTCTGTGTGCTGTAATAAAAAGGCCCAGGCAAAATACACACACCCCATTATAGTAAAAAACAAAACAAAAATAAAACAGTGAGATAAAAATCCAGTCCTTAATCTGTGTAAAAATAGATATCAAAATCTAATCAAAATTTAATTGAATTGAGTCCCAAGATAATGCAGAAGTTAGGTTAGTCAAACACTTAAACCAACTCTGTAATGATATGTTCCTAAAGCTCTTCCTGTGATGATTTAAAGGTCCAATGTGTAACATTTAGGAGGATCTATTGTTAGAAATGGAATATAACAGCCGGAGGTATGTTTTCATTAGTGTATAATCACCTGAATTAGGAATTGATTCCGCCTTCTATGCAGTCTGCCATGTTTAACCACCTACAGTAGCCCAGAAGGGGCAAACCAAACACTGGCTCTAGATAGGGGCATTTGTGTTTTTTGTAAATTTCACAGCCTACACACTTGGAAGGCTGAGCTATGTTCAAATGACCACAAAATCCACCTAGATACCACTAAATCCAACACACTTGGTTATCTTCCAAAAACAATTCAAGCAAGCAATTTTTACATATTTTATTATTTGATACCTCACAGTCAAGGTTTACATTCCAAAGTGAATATAAAGGTTTAAAAACATCATGATTACAACTTGAGTCCTTTGGCTTTCCATTTCTAGACTAATCTATTATTTGTTTTATTATTAAGTTGTCACATGTAAAAGTTTTGATTCAAAGGCGTTCAACAACACAATGCTGACAACTGAAACTGTAGAGTCTGTCTGTGTAGGGTGCCTTCAGAGCCACAGATTCTGATGGTCAGTGTGTTTGCTCACGCAGCCTCCTGCAAACCTCATGCAGCTCAGTGATGAGTTGTTCCAGAGCAGTGACATCGTCCTGCAGATCAGCGTGGATCTGACCCGTGGCTACATCTGTGTGCATTTGCTGGTATAGAGTAATGAAGATGAAGTGATGATGTAATGTACTGAGGTCAATATCATTATTAGTTTACTCATCAACAGTGGACTATTTGGATGTTATTTGGTGTAACGTACTGCTGCCATTCACTCATATCTTCTTGCATCTTGAGTGGAAACGAGAGTGCATTTTTGAGGCTATCAATGTATTAAAAAAAAACATTTTGTGAAGGATCCCTTAAATTTGGTTAAAGAATGTTGACCAAGATATGCACTAAGCAGGACATTTTAATAAATCTGCCACTGCTCTCTGGTGGACAAACTATATATAAGCAACACTTTTTAAATTCAGACGTATCTTTGGTATCACTTCAATTTGTCATGTGTACACACTGTACTGTTTAGATTTTTAACCACTTAGCAAAAATTGTGTCTCTTTGCTGTTCAAAAATACCAATGAAATGACGATTACAGTGACCTTGAAGTGCAAATCACGACAGCAAATTCCAAAACACAAGAAGAAACTGGAAAAAACAACAAATCATTGTGTTTTATTTGTTGGTATGATTTGCACCTCAAGGCCACCATATCACACCAATATTTTAATCACTTTATCACTCAAACTTTAGACATTCAGGAATGTGCAGCAGCTTATACTTTCAGTCTGTGAATTTACAAAATCAGACATTATTAAGTATAATTCCACTTTTCAGTAGGTAATATGCAGAATGATAAAAACGTGATTTCACGTCACAGTACTGTAGCTGCTACAGTCAATTGGTCTCGTTTTCCAGTCAGAGTCATTGTTAAGATGTTTGAAGTTGAGTTAAAGTTAAATACTGTTTAAAATATTTGTCAGTTAAACCATAATGAAACAAAGGGGAGTAATTAATCACCCTTTTTTTTAGAGTAATCAAAAACAAAACAAAGTAATATGCCTGAAATATATATGTAAGTTTATGTATAAATATATATGTCTAATATTAATTCTCATATCACTGTAAAATTATTCTATGGTAATATTGTTTTTTTCTCCGCCTCCTCCCAGACAATTCTGACTCAAACACTGGGGTTAAAAGATTTCCGGTCTACGAATGATTCAACAAGCCTGACTGACCTGGGTGCCATATGCTTGTAAATCTCCATGTCCACGATTCTTTATGGATTTGTAACCTGTTCAGACAGACAACTTTATTGATGTGGTCTGGTGAAGATGTTGTGTCAACCTGCATGTTGACATCAACAACAGGATGGTGTTATGAGCTCCCTGCTGCCACTCTCACTAATATCTGCTTGTTTCGCATTACTGAGGGAAGTTCAAGAGCTTTAAAGTAGAACTATGGAGCCTGAAATTATTATACTGCAATTCCAGCCAATGCAGCATTATCAAGCAATGTGGCAGCTGACATCTATAGCCTGCATTTTATATTTTGTTGCCACCAGCACTCTGATGTATTTTCTGTTTTGTTATGAAAGAAGTCTGCCTTCACTTTTTGTTGTGGTCAACAAGGCAGCCCTGTTCAGACTCAAGATGTAAGAAAAGAACAATAAACACACTGACACCATGTACACCATCATCACAATGTCATAAAGAGCAGGAGTGATCTTCAGGGCCAGCAGTGGACTGTTATTGGTGGACTATACCTTAGCTTTGGTGGCCAGACTCCTGAGGCTGAGGCGGGCGGAGGAGAGCATCTGAAGAGCTTCTGTTGGATTGCTCTTCTTTTTACTGCAACTGACGGTCACTGAGAAACAGAGAGATAAATTCAGAGAACGGATCCAGCCTGTTGGATTAGTTGAATTAATGTTTGTTTGTTGTGTTTTGTCCTGGATTTGAACTCAGTATATTTTACTTTTGTATATTTATACTGTATGACAATGTAGAAATTAAGAAAACCTGTTTTCGGGAGGTTGTGCTACTGCTTCAGTTATCTCAGGACACTTTTCAAATAGAGCAGGTCTAGACCGAACTCTTTAACATTAATTACAGAGACCCAACAGTACCACCATGAGCAAGCACTTGGCGACAAGGGCAAGGAAAAACTGCCTGTTAAAAGGCAGAACTGCTGTGCCTGTTCCTGTGCCCAAACCTGCACGCTGCATGACAATGATGAAGTTGCGGTAATTTAGTAATCCTCACTAACTTAACTAATTAAAAGTTAAAACAAAGATATATGGATTACCAGCACTGTAAATCCCACACTCGATTTGTATGGAAAAAAGAAAAAAGCATCTTAAAGCTGCATAGGTAACTTTTATAAAAAAATATTTATTTGGCATATTTGCTGAAACTTTCACTATATCCTAACAGTAGTACAAAAAAAAAATCTGGTTCCTCTGGCCAAGAAAGATATCCGATTGTTGAGTCTCATTCCCAGGGCATCAAATATGGATGCTTACGGACCCTGGGAATGAGACTAAACAATCAAATACCTTTGGCCTCAACCCAAAGTGTCTTTATATCTCTCTCGGCTTCTTGGTTTCTTAGTGCAGGAATGTGCACCGCGTCAGCTTTCAGTTTTGAGAGGGCTTGTTGAGTGTCTCCACTCAAAATAATGCAGCATCTGAACGGCCCCTGATTTAAGAAATATGAGTAGTTCACACAGCTAACAAAGATGAACACAAACCCAGAACTCCTGGGGTAACTGACCGATTAAACTATGAGGGATAGAAATCTAGACACATAACACAGATTAGATGGTATCTAATGAGGTCTAATACAATCTCATACAAATAAAAAGATTGACTACATCTGGGTAATTTCAAGTAAAACAGCAGCTTAAAGCATGTTCCATGTTCCGTAATTAGACTAAACTATGGATTGACAACTTTAACCCCTATTATCTTCACTTATATTTTTTAGAAAGCTAGGCAAGTAAAGACTTAGGGGTTCAAGCACAGAACTCAACATCCAAAACTTGTAGTCTTAAGCCCCAACTGACACCAACATGTATCAGATTTGGCCTGAAAACTGACTACAAAACAGGGCTGGCTGACTAGCTGGGGAAATTGCTACTGTTAGTCTTAACTAAAGGTAAACTGACTTTTTGTGTTTGAAAAATATCTGTTTTATACAATATTACAAAACAGAGATATACTATTTATATAACTATAAATAACCAAAGTTTGTTTTTTTCTTAAACTAGAAAGCTGAAAAAACACATCTTTGTGGAGTTTTCTTCTTCCATTTACTTTGTTTAGGTATTATGTAACCCTAACCCCAAAAAATAAAGTAATTACAGCATGTCTGTCTGCAACCAGGTTGCCAACAGGGCTGGAAGCTTGAAACCCTTTTTCCCTCAACTGTCTACACTGTCTACAATCTGTAGTTACTGCTCACTGCCTCTGTATTGCTCATGTTGAAAGTCTGCAGATGGTAAATGTACTTGTATAGCGCCTTTCTAGTCTTCCTACCACTCAAAGCGCATTTACACTACATGACACATTTACCTGTTAATACACATTTACTCAGTAATGGCAAAGTCCATCGAACAGAACGCATTTCACATTCACAATTCGGGTTCAGTATCTTGCTCAAGGATACGACATGTGGCAGGAGGAGCTAGGGATCGAACCAACAACCTTCTGATTAGTGGACGACCCTCTCTTCCTCTGGGCCACAGCCACCCATCATGGGATTTGTATGGGTGTATGTGCACCAAGCATGAGAGCAGAATAAAATTTGCATGTCAAACTCAAAGCATGAGGGGAAGAGGATGGAGGTAATGACACACAAAGTAAACATTACCATTCTTTTCATGCTAGCTCCTGACTACTTCTCTAATGTTTAATTCAGCACTGTGTGTGTGTCTTGCTGTAATGAACACATATGGGGATTGTGGAGATTTATAAATAAACTGGAATCAGCTGTGGCTCAGAGGCAGAGCGGGTCGTTCCTTAATCGGAAGGTTGTGGGTTCGATCCCCGGCTCCTGGTGCCACATGTCGAAGTATCCTTGAGCAAGATACTGAACCCCGAATTGCTCCTCATGCCGTGCATCGTTGTGTGATATGTGTATGAATGTTAGTTTCTGTTCGATGGACTTTGCCATCACTGAGTGAATGTGGCACGTAGTGTAAAAGCACTTTGAGTGGTCGGAAGACTAGAAAGGCGCTATACAAGTACAGGTCCATTTACCATCTCTCTGGACACATCTCTCCCATTTTCCTCCCACTGCTGCTCATCAGTCCATTCCATCTACTCCTCTGCCCCACTGAGAAACCAGAACTGATTCATTGGTTAGTGGAAGGTCACATAGCCATGGGTAAAAAGGTAAGCGGCCTGTTTGCCTTCATTTCACAAGGAGGTTTGATCACCCATCCGTCATGGTTACTGGAGGAACAGTAGAATAGAATAGGAGTCATGCTGGTCCAGCTAGGACTGGATTAGCTCCTGGCTAATGTCCGGTGCGGACAAAATAGGACAATGGGAAATCAGAGACTGATCATTAGAGAGACCTGCTTCATCAACATCCTGGATCCTCAATGGCTGGACCGTGTTCCGAGCCGAGTGCAGGATGAGAGTAGACTAAACACTAAAGCACTATATATTAAAAAAAAAGTACAGTAAAAACACTAAACACTACAAAAAACACTAAAAAGATCCACGAAGTTAAGAGCTGTTGTGACTAGCTGCCACTCATGTGGCGCTAACATTCTAGAATATGTCTATGTGAGTACATCATTAGATCACTGCTGTCAACAATAGGACATAGTAAGCAGGACTTCTGTTCATCTCCTCCCTCTGTATTAGAAAGGAGTTACTAGTGTTCAGTCAAAAAAAGGTTAAATGGTTTAGTCATGGCAAAAAGGAGACTCAGTCATCGAATGATAGTACATGTTCCCTGGAATAAACAGAAACCTTTTCTGTGTTCATGTGTGGATGGTGGTTCTACAGCTGGATGGTGCACTCACCTTCACCCATATCGATGGCTCTTTTGATCACCTCTTTGAAGAGACCAGGTTCTTTCTCCCAGCCACCAGTCTGAACCTCGCAGCGATGGGCCTTGGACAAGAACTGTAGTGCCTGAAAACCACACAATAACACCACAAATGTTTTAGGAGGCAAATTAGGTCCCATATCCACTGTACATTTGCCATCTTTTTCATTTCATTCCTCAAGCGGCAAAGATGAAAATCAAAAATGCATTTATTTGCATTCGCATAATGTGACTTGCTCAATGAGCCTTGGGATAAGTGCAAAGTAAAAATATTTTAAGCGTCTTAAGTGATTTTGCATTGCTTCGCGTCCACTTTGTGCTGACTTTGCATTGCTGTGAGTGGGTAGCTATGTGGAACATGTGAGCATGATTGGGAAATGTTAAAAACACGTTGCAGGAGCACCAACCTTTTCGTTGTCCTCTGGGTTGGAGCTGTGGCCATCACAATATAACCGAGCATACTGCCGCCATATCTCAGAGTCACTACTGTGGCGAGAACTGACCCGCCCAAGGAGCTCCTTCATTTTGGGCCGGAGAGTTTCTGCCTGCTCACCCTGGCCGTCCGTCAGGTTTTCAACAACTGCTTTTACAAGGATCTGTAGAATCTGCCATGGGAAAAAATAAATGATACTGATGTCAATGTCAGATTTGTGTTCAAATATAAATCACAATTAAAGCTGCAAGCAGCGTTGAGCGGGACCTCGCACTCCACGCAACTCGGGGTGTGCTGCGGCCACGTCGCGTGCCGTCGTAAAACGTGCGAACCACAACACGAAAATGTCACGTAAATAAGCTCAAAATCGCCACGCAGCGCTTACTTCCTGTTGCCAGAAGGTGGCGCTATCACTATGTCTGAATGTTGTCATGTAGAAATGTTCAAGGCGAGAGTGTTATCAAACACGTGAAGTTTCATTGAGATTGGACCACGTACGCTGAAGTTATGAGGACGTGTTCACGGCAAAACTGTTTCAGAATATATTAAGTTTATTGGAGATTGGACACTGCACACTGAAGTTATGAGCACTACTTTATGGCGAATCTGCTGAAATGGACAAGTTGTCACTGGCACGCGGTTTAATGTACAGTCACAGCTCAACTTTTCAGTTTGTATGACGACAGAATTCAAAGTGGCCAACTCTGACCTCACGCCACAGACACTCCATTCAACGTACAGTCTCAAATAGCACTAACCCTAACCCTAACCCTAGGAGGAGTTCGTTCAAATACAACGCAAAAAAATCACCGAAAATGCACACGGAATTCACTATGGCCAACTTTGAGGGCACGCCACGGACACGCCCTCGGTGAAACGTGGCGCCAGGGCTGCTTTTTTTATCCTGTAGGGGGCGCTACAAACACGACAAACACGATTTTTGGTATGTGAGCTTCAGGCACCAGTCTAAACGTGCCCTGTGAATTTCATATTCATAACTATTACGGTCTCCGCACAGTGATTTACCATGCCACCAGAGCGCCACCTAGTGGCGGATTGTTGACACATTTTTTAGCGAGCCTCAGGGAGCCATGGGGAAGCATCGTACCAAGTTTCATCTTAATCACACATACCGTCGCAGAGATATAAACTTCTACATTTTAAAGAGCGCCACCTAGTGGCGATGGCCTGAAATTGTGCACGATGCTTAAGGAAGACATGTGGAACTAGGGACTCAAGTTTGGTGTCAATCGGACATACCAATGTGGAGAAATGGTCCACTTCCTTTTTTGACGAAAAATCAACAGGAAATGCTAATTTTATAGCGTGCTTATTGTTTGAAATTTCAAAAATGTTCAAATTACTTTTTTTGCCAGGGCGGTCCCCAGGTGCTAGGTGAAAAATTTCGTGCAAATCGGACAAAGCGTGTAGGAGGAACATGAAAAAGTAGTTTAAGGACATTTCGTGCTCTAACGAAAAAAAATTATAGGCGGAAGTGGGCTGGGCCTATATATGAAGATTCAGCTCTATTCACCAAACGCATGGATATACGTTTTTTGAATGTACGATAAAATATGCAGAAGTTATTAGTCTAAACGCATTTTTTATGATAGTGAAATTCAACACAACGCCACCGGCATGCCGTTTGATGGAATGTCCTAGATAGCACAACTTTTAATCATGAATGTCTTTAGATTGTGCTGATTAAATTTGAAGTTGATCCGATTAATTCCCTAGGAGGAATTCGTTCAAATTCAAGGCGAAAAATCACAGAAAATGAGCGCGGAATTCAAAATGGCTGACTCTGATGCCATGCCACGGACACGCCGTTTGATGGAATGTCTTAAATAGCACAACTTTTAATCATGAATGTCTTTAGATTGCGCTGATTAAATTTGAAGTTGATCCGATAAATTCCCTAGGAGGAGTTTGTTCAAATTCAAGGCGTAAAATCACAGAAAATGAGCACGGAATTCAAAATGGCTGACTTTGATGCCAGGCCACAGACACGCCGTTTGACGGAATGTCGTAAATAGCACAACCTTTAATCAGCACCATTTTTTGACTTTACTGACAAAATTTGAAGCAGATCTGATAAATTCCCTAAGAGGAGTTCGTTCAAATACAACGAAAAAAAAAAAGCTGAAAGTGCGAAGGGCCAGAAATGGCACCACAGTTTGAAATTCAGTTCAACCTGGCCATATTTGACGGCACGCCATGGACACGCCCTTCAACGTATGTGTACAAATAGCACAACTTTTAATCAGCACTATACTGTAACTGTACTGACCAATTTTGAAGCAGAGCCGATGAATTCCCTAGGAGGAGTTTGTTCAAATACAACACGAAAAATCAAAGAAAGTGACAGAAAAATTCAAAATTGCTGACTTTGACGGCACGCCACGGACACGCCCTTCAATGTACATGCACAAATAGCACAACTTTTAATCAGCACCATACTTTGGCTGTACAGACCAATTTTGAAGCAGATCCGCTGAATTCCCTAGGAGGAGTTCGTTCAAATACAACGCGAAAAGTTTGCCGAAAGTGAAAATCAAAATCAAAACCTGTTGCAGCAGGTAAGTAATTTGATCTCAACTTCACTGTTAAATGTTCAGTTTCTTTACAACGTGTCAGAGCTGTATTAAATTACTGCTAATGCAAACTTAACATCCTACTGCTGCGGCTTCACATTAAAAGCATTCAATGAGCCAGACACAGAGTGGCTTTTATTGTGAAGCAGCCATAGGAAGCATAATGTGTTTGTCACTGCACACAGCGCTGTTTTATTACAGACAAAGTAGCTGCTCAAGCCAGAGTCTTAAACAGCATTGCTGTTACCACAGTGGGTAGATGTTGGCAAATCAACCAGGACTCAAAACAACGATTATAACTTTAAGAATTATTGCAGGGCGCTGTTAAATATAGTAATACAATCATGAATGAGAGTCAGTGCATAGGTTCAGTAGGTGAAGTATGTGAAGTAGTAGAGAGGATGAACCCACTGTCATCATCACAGTCTCTCCCACCAACCCCTTTCTTCTGCTTAGAACATTATCAGTATCCTGACTTGAGTTCCAGCTGAGATCTGCTATCTAGTTCTCCACCTCCCACAAAGTAAATAATGAACCATTTGTCAGTTTTCTTGTTTGAGTGACTGGAAAGCTAACTCTGTAAAATCACGTCAGACATCATGGACGGCATATATTATCTGTATTTTACAAGCAAAAGAGGCCAATGGTATAGGTTTAAAGACCAACACACACACTGTGGGTAATATCTGAGTGTCTCTGATGTCAGTCCGGTGAAAAGTTGTGGTAAAAAGTGACACAAAGGGTAGAACTGAATGAATAACTTATTCAGGAAGGAATAAAAAAGGACAGCTACACGAATGACAGTCCAGAATTTTCTATGAAGCTCATCTCGAAGTTTACTTTTAGATCACCAATAGAAAAGAAGACATTTTTGTCCCTCAAGGGATTCTGTGTATAGTGCCTGTGTTTGAATGAGTGTGTGTGTGGGAGACCTTAAGGTTCCTCTGTATCCCATTAAACCCCATAACTTAGCAATGTGACCCTCAGCTCCTTCGAAATCTATCAGCCAGTCAAAGCACGTCTGTCACCAGCCCTGTACAAATTCCATAAGAGACAAATTCATGGTGGTCCCTGCCACCATCTCTCCTTTCCTACTGCTCCACCTCTCATGCTCTGTGCCTGGGCTAAAAACAACCACAAGGAAGAAAAATATGAAACAGAATAAGGCAGAATTGTTGTTTCTAGAAATGTGACTGATCTGATTGTGGTGAAAAAAGGAGGCTGAGTGGAACCGCAATTTATGCAAAACACAGTGAATTTAAAAGGTGGATGTTAGTAAAAATAGAAGGGTAATAATGGAATCATCATTTGAAGTAAAGAGGCTTTTATGAGTGTGCTTCTGTGTTCAGACAGTCTGCTACAGCAGACGTTGACTCTAGGCAGCAGTAACTAAGCAGTTTAAGAAAGGCAGCAGCCTTGTGGTTGTAACTGCATAGAAAACATTTGAAAATTCAACATTCTGATAGTAGCTGACATGTTATGGGAGGGTTAAAATCGGTTGAAATTCATTATGAGATTCAATTTTATTTGTATAGCGCCAATTCATAACAGAAGTTATCTCAGGACAATTTTCAAATAGAGCAGGTCTAGACTGATCTCCTTATAAAAGTATTTACAGAGACCCAACAGTTCCCACCATGAGCAAGCACTTGGCGATCGCCGCAAGAAAAAAATTCCTTTTAAGAGGCAAACATTTATTAAAGGAATAATAAACGCAAGCAGAGGAAAATGCCCTATAAACCAGTCCTTCCAGATAAACGCGATTATGCGATCGCATAATTCAATGCATAATCAGCCAAAGTCCGCATATTTATACGTGTTCAGGGCAAAACTGTTTCAAATATAGTTTATTTGAGATTGGCACAAGTTATGAGTCTGTTTTATGGCGAATCTGCGAAATCACGGCACGGGGTTTAATGTCAGTCACAGCTCAACTTCAATCAGTTTTAACGCGAATTCAAAGTGACCAACTTTGACCTCACGCCACAGACAACGTTCAACGTACAGTCTCAAATAGCACAACTTTTAATCAGCACAATTTTTTGACTGTACTGACCAATTTTGAAGCAGATCTGATAAATTCCCTAGGAGGAGTTCGTTCAAATACAACGCGAAAAAATCAACGAAACTGCGCACGGAATTCACTATGGCCAACTTTGAGGGCACGACACGGACACGCCCTTTAATGTACACGCACAAATAGCACAACTTTTAATCAGCAACATTATTCAAGAGTACTGTCAAGTTTTGAAGCAGATCTGATAAATTCTCTAGGAGTTTGTTTGTTCAAATACAAGACCAAGGACTTCAAAATGGCCAACTTTGATGGCACGCCACGGACACACCCTTCAACATACAGTCAAAAAATGAACAGCGTTCATTCAGCACCATTTTTTGACTGCACTGACCAATTTTGAAGTAGATCCAATAAAACCTGTATGAGGAGTTAGTTAAAATAGAAGCCCTGAAATGCCAAAAATGACATCACAGTGTGACATTCGTTCAAAATGGCCAACTTTGAGGGCACTCCACGGACACGCCCCTTCAACGTACAGTCACAAAATGAACAGCGTTCATTCAGCACCATGTTTTGACTGGACTGACCAATTTTGAAGAAGATCCAATAGAACCTGTAGGAGGAGTTAGTTAAAATAGAAGCCCTGAAATGCCAAAAATGACATCACAGTGTGACATTCGTTCAAAATGGCCAACTTTGACGGCACGCCATGGACATGCCCTTCAACGTACAGTGAGAAAATGAACAGCGTTCATTCAGCACCATTTTGTGACTGTACTGACCAATTTTGAAGCAGATCCCAGAAATTCCCTAGGACGAGTTCGTTCACATGCAAGGCGAAAATTCACCGAAAATGACCACGGACTTAAAAATGGCCAACTTTGACGGCACGCCACGGACACGCCCTTCAACGTACAGTTACAAATTGAACAGCGTTCATTCAGAACCATTTTGTGACTGTACTGACCAATTTTGAAGCAGATCCGATAAATTCCCTAGGAGGAGTTTGTTCAAATACAAGCCCAAAAAGTCAAAATGACCAAGAGTGAAAATTTTAAATTAAAATAGCCGACTTCCTGTGGGATATGGGATATGGGTCCTAGAGGCTTTTTTGTACGTCTCGGCACATTACACGTGCCTACCGAGTTTCGTACATATTGGTGAAAGGTGGCGCCGGGGCTGCTGTTTTAAAATCCTGTAGGGGGCGCTACAAACACGACAAACAGGATTTTTGGTATGTGAGCTACAGGCACCAGTCTACACATGTCCTGTGAATTTCATATTCATAACTGTTACGGTCTCCGCACAGTGATTTACCCTGCCACTAGAGCACCACCTAGTGGCGTATTTTTTTTCCTTTTTAGGTGAGCCTCAGGGAGCCATGGGGAAGCAGCGTACCAAGTTTCATCTTAATCACACATACCGTTGTAGAGATATAAACTCCTTCATTTTAAAGAGCGCCACCTTGTGGCAAAGGCCTGAAATTGTGCACGATGCCTAAGGAAGACATGGGGAACTATGGACCCAAGCTTGGTGTCGATCGGACATACCAATGTGGAGAAATGGTCCACTTCCTTTTTTGACGAAAAATCAACCGGAAGTGCTAATTTTATAACACGCTTATTTTTCTAAATATCAAAAATGTTCAAATTACTTTTGTTGTCAGGACGGTCTCCAGATGCTATGTGCAAAATTTTGTGCAAATCGGACAAAGCGCAGAGCAGGAACACAAAAAAGTAGTTTATGGACAAAAAATTATAGGCGGAAGTGGGCGTGGCCTATATGGGGAGATTCAGGACCATTCACCGAACGCGTGGATATAAGGTTTTTGAATGTGAGACAAACTATGCAGGAGTTATTAGCCTATCGAAATTTGCCTAAAAGTAGCGCCCCCTAGTGGCCTTCCTAGTGGCTGACCTGGAAGCGACGCATAGAATCTCCCATTTTGAACAGGCCCAACAAGTCTGCCAAATAAAATGGGCATTTCGTATATGTTTAGGGGGTGAAAAATGCAGTCAATGTTCTGAAAAATAATAATAATAAACGAAGCAAAAACAATAGAGACCTTCCAGTTCATACTGGCTCGGTCCCTAATAATTCCTACAGGAATAATAGGGTCAGTGCTCGAGCCCTAATAAACATAGCAAAAACAATAGGGACCTTCCAGTTCATTAACTGGCCCGGCCCTTAATAAGAAGAATAGGTAAGAAATCGAGCAAAAACAATAGGGACCTCCAGCGGTTGCTGGCTCGGTCCCTAATTTATACAGTTCTTGCTTAGCCGTTAACTCTGTTATCTGTCTATGACCAGTAGTTAGTGACAGTCCAATGGAGGGAGGAAGAAGAAGAGTTGCGGGTGAGCTGCTTGGATCAGCTGGCGGTCCTGTGAGCCGGGCTGGAAAGAGTTCTGGTTCCAGACAGTCCAAACAGTCACTGCTGGGTGATGTCCGCTGGTGCAGGTTGCAAGAGGAAAGGCGTTTTGGTGGTTGCTTTGCAGAGTTAACAAGTCAGCGTTAATGTCGCGTTGCTCCGGTAAAGTCAGCTGACAGACTTTCTCTTTAAAGCTGCAGATGTTGACTTCCGTTAGCGGTGCGCTGACCAGGGATCGCAGGATAAAAGCAGGCTCTTATTCCGTGCTATAATCCTTTGTCGTGCGTCTTCGGCGGATCGGGCCGCACCGAGGTCCAAAACTTATCACCAGGTGTGGGCGAGAGATGTGAGCGAAGAGAGAGAGAAAGGGAAGAGAGAGAAAGGGGAGAGCGAGTAACGCCTTGCCAGGAGTTTAATCACCTGGACATCGCGCGTCATCAAGCTGCACCAGGTTACGGTCACAGGAAGTGACCAAATGAGGTGACAGGAAGTGACCTGTCACAATAAAGGTCAAGTTAACCACACCAAACAAACGTGCTCATATTTAAAGGTCTCCTTTGACCCTACACTCTACACACTTCCCCCATCACATTGGCAGAAATGGGCTTCCATAGTTCCCTTCAGCATGGATTAAAAACCCACAGGTGTATTGTTGAAAATGCTTCTTACTTTAGAATGAGTTTCTACAAGTAGCCCAGAACGGACAAACCAAACACTGGCTCTAGATAGGGGCATTCATGTTTTTGCACGGTGCAGTTGCCACTGCAGTTTCTCCTTCGCAAAGAGGAGGATGAAGCACTGCTAGATGCCACTAAATCCTACACAGTGGACCTTTAAATGCTGGCGTGACCAGGTTGAAGCACAGCCACATCAGTGACATTACATTGTAAATGTATGTGTTTTAAGAGGAGATTAAAAAATGAAGACTTGCTTGCATCTGAAGTGATGCCACCGATCACCACATGACAGCATAAACAAACATTAACGTGCTCGGTAAAAAATTGCAACACGGACACACCAAAAGGAAATGAAACGTACTGCAAATGTTTTGCAATCACCCAAAAAAAAAATATGTAATTGAAGTGAATTTGAGGTAGTTTGGGTATTTGGCCCGAGGACACAGGATGTCTTTCTGAGTCAGAGTTGTGATATCAAGCAGTCCCACTGGGCTGAGAGATATAATCTTTAAAGTTAACTGCTTAAAACTACAAGACTGAAATGATTCCAGGGCTGAAGCAGAGAATTAATAATTGACATGCTGAAGAGAGGCTTTTCCTTCAGTTGTAAATGACTCTGCATATGTGACCACAATGAAAAAGATTAATTAACACTACAGGAAAGAATAAACAGTATGTCTTTTGACATGATTTTACACTGCATTCCATCCTTGTCTTGAGTTATGTACTTTATGTAAGAACCTAAAAATGTACAAGGTTTTATCCCTTTCTCATCCAAATAACATTTGCTTTATTTAACAAACTAATGATAGATTATATTATATATATATATTATTTCCATCTTCAATATAGTAGGCACTAAAACACACACAATAAAAAAAAGTACAGTATTTTGTTGTGTTAGTGTTCCACATAGACTGTACTTCTTCAAACTCTGAATGGAGAAACCCATGGCTCTGAATCTTATCATTTACTATATTTGAATACTACAACTCCGACGAGTACGCTAGTTTTTGGTGGCCTTGCTGGCTTATATACATGTGCTGAAGGTGAAGAGGCCCATAACTAGGGATGACCACTTGGTCCAAAAGGTCCTGGTTCGCATTATTGATGAGATGTGAATTAAAGATGACATATGAAACTGATGTTACTCAATCAGCTAGAGAGAAGACATAGAGAAGACAGTGCTGCAACAATAGCAGGCTGAGATCACAAAACACTACAGTAAAGAAATGATCAGACTTTGATCAGCTTAATTTTAGCCAATACTAAGTATCAGAACCACCAGAGGTGAAGTACTGTACGTTGAGCTGTTCTCACTGGCTGCGCAGTTTTGACTAGTCTGTTGCAGGAAACAGCGGTGGCTTACACGATCTCATATAGCAGATACACACAGTACACTAAAATATTTTTCAGAAATTATTTTAGGTGAGAAATAGGCAACGCAGTAACAGAATCTTGATTCATATCTGATCAGCACTCCCTAGTTTGACAGTTTGATCTGAGTTTCATTCAGTGCACTGGACAGACTCACTGAGAATGACTTGTCAGTCACAAGGCAGCCACGCCCTAAAGAATACTCTATAAAGAATCGTCTATTTTATCTAAAAAGGGGCCAGGCTGAGGCCAATACTCTCTTTGGAATGACACAGAAATTAGTATATTGTTCAGTTTTTTTCTGCGTAGTATGGCAGTGTACAGAGGTTAGATTATGAATGTTAGATGTGTGTATCTAAAATAAGCCCTTGATAGTCTTATGGATGCCTACTGACAACGTTGGCTGTTTTTGTTAATCATGTGACCCTTGCCTTGAGCCCAATTCATTTAACTTCTTTACAAACAAATGTGATTTTGCACATCTTTACACTGAACTCCTTTTTTCCTTCTTAACTTCCTTGCTGTTTTGCTTTTATAAAGACCTCCACTCCTCTGTGGCACTCCAGGGATTCCTTTTAAGAGTCACAGCTGTATGATACATCAACTACTCACACCCCATACAGTCAGAGAGTATAAGCAGTGCTTTACCTGGACATCCTTGTAGTTTTCCCTAAGGTCCATCAGACGATGGTATGCCTTGATGGCTTCAGCAAATTGCCCGATGTCAGTGCTCACTACAATAAAGTTCTCCCAGATCTGCCAGTGTTCGTAGTTACACCTCAGGGCTTCCTGTAGGGTACGAAAGGCTTTGTTTCTGCCACACAGGAAAGAAAATGTTTAGCAGTAAATGAGCTCAGTAAAAAAATTAATGTGCCAAATACACTTACAGCAGTTTCAGTAATATTCATTTTAACATTTGGTGAAAGAATGGTTGCCCCCCACACACGTGCCTGTGCTGAGTTGGCGGCAGTGCTAACCAGGTATTAACAGAAGCTTTCCTGCTTTGCTTTTCAATTTCAGGCCTCAAAGCACATGAGTCTGATGGAAGGCTGAGGGACACTTAGGATTCACTGGAAACATAGCACAATAGGTCATTTCTGTGTGAACTCGTCTTTCCACAGCCAGAGCCATAAAGAACTCAGGCTTGAATGAAAAATGTATTTTTTGGTAACGGTTTTGCCATAAAATACAGTGCCAGTGTTTTATTTGCAGCATTTTCTAAACTAGAATTACTACCTTGCAGTTTCATGCTTCTGCCAACCACTTAGGTTGCAATTTACATCCTTATCTGTCCCGAGGCGTATGATATAAGTGGTGAATATTTGAAATATATTATAATAATATTAAAAAAATATTTAAAAATATGCTCAATTCATTCCCAAGTTGAGGCTAAAAAAAGCTATTTTGAGATCACAATGACCTTTGACTTTTGAGTCAAAAGTGTCACCAATCTGTGAAAACTAATGGTGCCGTTTCCAAGAAGGATTTTGATGGTTCCCTGTGCTTTGCTGTTGAATGATAAAATCCTATTAAATAAAACTTAATCCATTTGATTACCTCTTACTACCAGTGCAAGTTACAACACATAAAACATGCTGCTCTAATAACATTTCCACACTCATACTTACTTCATTTGCAGGCGAATGTAGGCTGTAGAGAGGTTGCTCCATGCTTCTGCGTTCTGCAAGGAGAAACAGAAAGAGAGGAAAAAAAGAGGAGAGAGTAAGGAAGGAGGAGTTGAAAATAATCATAATAACTGAGCATATAGAAGAATGGTAGGGAATACACAAGTTTCAAGTAACCACAGTTATGCACAGAGGCTATCAAATGGTTCAGGGCTGGTGTGGAGATTGATCATTAAAGATGTTGGACTTTGCCTTTTTTTTCTCCATGCACCAACAGCTTAAATTTATCCACCTTTTGATGTCGTTGGTGAAGTGGTGTGTGTGTTTGTGTGTAGGTACTTACATCTGGCTCTAGTCCCACACACCTATGGAAAGCCTTAGCAGCTCCCTCATAGCCCTCCAGGGCAAAGTAGGCACAACCGAGGGAAAACCACACACCGAGCTGTCCAAACACACACAAAGACGAACCAATAAAAGTGAATTTTTTTGGGCCTTTTATTGCCTTTATTATATGGTGACAGCCGAAGATAGACAGGAAAGGGGGGCAGAGAGAGAGAGGGGATGACACGCAGCAAAGGGCCACAGGTCGGTTTAAAACCCGGGTCGCTGCAGCAACTCCGTACATGGGTCGCCAGCTCTACCGACTGAGCTAACCTGGCGCCCCCATGCTAACATTTTGTATCAATTAAGGCGGTCTGTACTATCCAATGGCAATCAATCCAGTAGTCCACTGTTGAGATATTCCACTCAAAACCAAAAATTTCAACGTGATGGCGGTGCTAGTTGAGAATTCAGGGGGATCACCAAAGTCATTAGCAGTGGTGTGGTGATGCCTGGACAAGTGGGTATACTTATACCCCAATTTTATTAAAACTGCCTTGTCCAGCAAAGGATAAATGCCCCGCATTATAAGCAGCAACATGTAAGACTACTCTTCTACACCGATCAGCCAAACCATTATTATTATTTTTTTCTTTACAATATTTTTTATTAACTTTTCACTTTTACAAGTAAAGGATGGTTACACAATATGGTTCACAGAAATAAAAAGCAAAACAAACAAACAAGTAAACAAAACAAGACAAACAAACAAAAAAAACAACACAGAACACCAGAACAGCAGAACACCAGCTCAGATCCATAAAAATAATACTTGGGGTTACAGTAATAATGTGCGGTATGAGCAGTCAAGAAAATCCCTGCAGCATGATATTAGAGACATCAGGCTCTACATAGTTCAAATAGGGTTCCCACACTTTATGGAATTGGTCTGTTTTTGAATGTAATATACATGAAAGGTACTCTAATGGCACTAGATCAAACACCACTCTTTGCCAGCCTTTAACAGTCGGTACTTTTTCATTAATCCACTGCAATAAAATATTCTTCCTCGCTGCATATGTAAGAATACAATACAACCTCTTGTTATGTTTGGATGTTAAGCGTCAGCTTGGTAGGCCCAGTATGAGAGTCACAGGGTCCATCTCCAGTTCTAAGCACAATATCTTTTCTATTTCAGATAACACATTAGACCAATACATTTGCAGTTTCAAACATGACCTAAAACAATAAGTTAGGGTACCAATTTCTATCTTGCATTTAAGGCACATGGGTGAGAGAGTAGGACTGAAGTGATGCCTGCGGTTGGGGGATATGTGCATTCTGTGTATAATCTTTAACTGTATTGCTTTGGTGCGATTGCAGACTGAAATTGATTTAGCATGTCTCCAGACATCCTTCCACTCTTCATCATCAATTGTGATGTTTAGCTCCTTTTCCCATGTGCCTTTAAGTCTCTGTAACCCAACAGGGGGTGTGAAATACATAGCTTTATAAAATAGACTCACAGATACCTCTCTATCTGTTAGAAATAATAATTTCTCAACAGGGGAGCTTTCATGGCTCTCAATTAAAGTAGTACTGTGCAAGATATAATGCCTTATCTGCAAATAACGAAAGAAGACATGTCTGGGGACAGAATATTTCTCTATAAATAATTTCCCCCTGGGATTATTAAAGTATTTCTGATTCTGATTTCATTTGTTCAAATGTCATAATCACATTATCAGATAGTAAGTCCCTCAGCCTATGAACACCATTATCCCCCCACTGTTTAAAATCAATATCAAACATCCCAGGCTGGAAATCAGGATTAGTCACAATAGGGGTGAAAACAGATGTGAACTTTGACCTTCCCTCAAGTCGACATACTGATCGCCAGGCCTTAAGTGTATTAAGTGTAACCGGGTTATTACAACTCAGTCTGATATTTTAAAATTTCTTAAAGAACAGTAAGTCCCTTAGTGGATACTTCGAAAGGAAAGCTTCAACTCCCAACCAAATAGAGCTTGATTTATTTACGACCCAGTCATAAATATACCTCATAAGAGTACACAACTGATATGTTCTGACATTTGGTAAGTCTAGACCCCCTACAGAACCTGGAAGCTGCAATGTAGCCATCTTAAGTTTTGGCCTACGCTTGCTCCATATGAAGGACCTTAGCCAGCCATTGAGGTCTTTCATCACCCTATTTGAAAATATGACCGGAATCATTTGAACAGGATACAACAATCGAGGCAATATATTCATTTTAACTAAGGATATACGTCCTAGCGAGGAGACAGGCAGAGAATTCCATCGCTCCAAATCCTGCCTCACCTTCTCGAACAGGGGAACAAAGTTTGCTTTACACATTTCCTTAAATTTAGGGGTTATGAATACACTTAGGTATATAAAACCTGCCGGAGACCACTTAAAGGGAAAAGAAGGTAAAACAGCTGGTATCGAATTAAGGCTCCCAAGGGGCATGGCTTCAGACTTGGTCAAATTAATTTTATACCAAGAAAATCTGCTAAATAAATCAATAATGTTAAGTAGAGCTGGTATTGATACCTGATAAATATCAAAACATCATCTTCATACAGACTAATCTTGTGCTCATAATCAACTAGTAGACCCCGTATAGCAGGTGCCATCCTTATGGCCTCCGCCAACGGTTCGATGGCAACGGCAAACAAGAGGGGTGACAAGGGGCAACCTTGCCTCATTCCTCTATACAATGGAAAACTGTCCGATTTAAGCCCATTAGTCAAAATAGCCGCCTGAGGATTATCATACAGAATTTTGACCCACCTAATGAAATTATCACCGAGACCAAATCTATTTAAAGTATAAAATAAATAAGCCCATTCTACCCGGGCAAAGGCTTTCTCAGCATCTAGAGAAAGCACCAGACCATCAATATCTCTTTGCTGGAAAGCCTGAATTACATTGAGAAGGCGCCTGACATTGTCACGGAAGTTACGACCTTTTATAAAACCGGTTTGATCTTTTAGTAGAAGGTCTTCAAGTCGAGTAGCTAGGATTTTTGAAAGTATCTTCCGGTCCACATTAACAAGAGCTATCGGTCTATATGAGGAACAAGACTCTGCACACTTCCCCCTTTTCAGAATGAGAGAAATATTTGCTTCTCTTAGAGTCTGAGGTAATCTATTATGCAAAAAAGAAAGGTTAAACATATTAAGTAATGGATCTGCTAATAAATCACAAAATTCTTTATAAAATTCACTACCAAACCCATCAGGCCCAGGGGCTTTTCTTTATTGTAAGGTTTTTATAGCATTCAGTACTTCCTCTCTGTTCTGAACTACTTGCACAACTCCTCAGTTTAAGAGAAGGTAGTCTTGTAGTGTTGTAAATGAAGCAGCCGTTTAGTTTTTCATTGTTTTAAATAAAAAACTACATATGCTTCTGGTGCCAAAGACAAAGTCACTTATTTTTATGATGCTGTTTGAAGAAATTGTGTCTTATTGTAAGATTTTTTTTTTCCCCAATTATTTAATCTTAAGGTCTATCATGGTCTATAACTGAGTTTCTTTGCTTGTAATAAGAAACCTGCTTAAAATGTTTGCCATTTTTTGTAGTTTTAAAGCCCATTACAGTCTTTCAGTGGCTAGATTTTTATGCTAGTTTTAAGAATTCAAGCCAATCAAAACTGGCGTACCCCATTGGCAGAATTTTTGAATACAAAAAAATATGATTATATTTAAAAATATTTGCCATGTTTCTAGAAGGGCTGTTTTTGCAGTGTACAGGGAGGGACATCTGGGCTACTTTGCTTGGCCTGATATCAAAGTAATGCGGACCTGAATAAGTGGTAGAAAATTTATTGATGGATGTTTTCTGTCAATAAATAAATAAAAAGGTTAAATAAAAGGTAAAGATTAGGCATGTGAAGGTTAAATGATAAATGGACTGTACTTGTATAGTGCCTTTCTAGTTTTCTGACCACTCAAAGTGCTTTTACACTACCTACCATATTCATACGGTGATGGCAAAGACCATCAAAAACAGAAGCTAATGGTCATTCCAACACATTCATACACCGATGTACACATTGGGAGCAATTTGGGGTTCAGTATCATGGTCAAGGACACTTCAACAAGCATTGGAAGGAGCCAGGAATCAAACTGCCAACCTTCTGATTAGTGGACAACCTGCTCTACCTCCTGAGATACAGCTCACATTTGTTAATGTGTTCTTTGTTTCAGGAAGCCAGAGATAGATTTAGATAATTTCTTCCCCAAACAGTTTACATGGTAGAATAAAGGGTCATCTCCGTTCCTTATATAAACTTTCATACATTCTAATAGACTTCACAAAAAAATCTGTAAATCAGTATGAGCACACCCCAGACCTGTTTCATTCCCTTCCATTAAATATAGGCCAAACGTCATTACTTTGTACCTGCATGGTGTTGATATTAAGCGACTGCTCAAAGCAGTCGACGCACTGCTGGAACTCTTTGTTGTGGAGGTGCAACAGAGCTTTGGAGCGCATGGCTCTGGCGCTGCGCTGGCCCGACAGCTCCCACGCCCGGTCGTAGTACTGATGGTCCCTCAATATGTCTCCCAGTAGGCAGTAAAGACTGCACGTCTCTGTCTTCTTCAACTCCCTGCGAACAATCTCCTCGGCCTGAGCAAATGGATGGGGAAGGACAGGGAGGTCAGAGTAGAGGAGGTGATGGAGAAGAAAGGAGGCAGTCGTTGTAAGAGAAAACAGCAAAGATGTGAAGAACTATAAGTCTGCTCGTGGGATGCAAAATGAACAGAATAAAGAAAGTGAAACAGGTACAGAAAGAATATGAACAACAAAGAGTAATGGGAAGACAATGATGTGCAAAAAACATAACAGATTATTTTTGACAGATAAACAGAAATGAACAACAGAAAATGTAAGGTAGGGGTTGTATTACAAGTAAAGTGTCAAATTACCTGTGGAAATCTGCACTCGTTGCACCTCACCATGCCACTACATGCTTTGGATAGCTCTTGGACTTAGGTGAATCTCACACTGTTGTGAGGTTGGAATAATGAACAGATTGTTTTCTCTTTCCAAATCCCTGTATCTTGATTTGGATTGTGAAGCGCACCAGTATAACCACTGAAAGGCTGTGGGCCTCTGAGGACTGACAGAGCCTTAGTTTTACTGAATTCCTTCTCTGAATCCTCCTGTCAGAGGCCTGATGTTGGGCCAAGAGCCTGACCTGCCTGGAAACAAGAAACCCTGCCATTCTTTTCTAAACTACACGACTCTGAACAGGTTGTACCAGGTACAATAATCTGCAATTAAAAGGTACACAAAGCTTCTATTACACCCTGTGCACCAAAGATAATCAACCATCATGTTCTTGTTAGCATGGCTGTTATATAAAAGACACCTACTCCACCATGGAAGAAAATTAAATATTTAATCTGTCTGAAGTCAAAGTTCATAGTGTTGTAACTCCCATTGTGGACTATATACTGCTGACTTGGATTTAATATTAAGTGATGCATGTCTTAGTTTGTGTTTGGACACATAACATGAGTCCATTTAATTAGGTGTTCAAGCTGGTTCATTAACATTATAATTATGATTATCATCATTAGGGACCGAGCCAGCGACCGCTGGAGGTCCCTATTGTTTTTGCTCGATTTCTTACCTATTCTTCTTATTATTTTTAGCCCCCTTCAACTGCATTTTTGCCCCCCTGAACATATACGAAAAGTCAATTTTATTTGGCAAAGTTGTCAGGCCAGGTAAAAATGGGGATATTCTATGCGTCGCTTTCGGGTTGGCCACGAGGTGGCGCTACTATCATAAAAAGTGTGTTTAGGCTAATAACTTCTGCATAGTTTGTCGCACATTCATAAACCTTGTATCCACGCGTTCCGTGAATGGAGCTGAATCTCCCCATATAGGCCCCGCCCACTTCCGCCTATAATTTTTTTTCGTTAGAGCGCGAAATGTCCTTATACTACTTTTTCGTGTTCCTCCTGCACGCTTTGTCCAATTTGCACAAAATTTTTCACCTAGCACCTGGGGGCCGCGCTTGCAAAAAGAGTAATTTGAACATTTTTGAAATTTCAAAAAATAAGAACACTATAAAATTCCAACTTCCTGTAGATTTTTCGTTAAAAAAGGAAGTTGACCATTTCTCCACATTGGTATGTCCGATTGACATCAAACTTCGGTCCTTAGTTCCGCATGTCTTCCTTAGGCATCGTGCACAATTTCAGACCATCGCCTCTAGGTGGTGCTCTTTAAAATGAAGAAGTTTATATCTCCATAACGGCAAGTGTGATTGAAAGGAAACTTGGTACGATGCTTCCCCATGGCTCCCTGAGGCTCGCTAAAAAATGTGTCAACAATCCGCCACTAGGTGGCGCTCTGGTGGCATGGTAAATCACTGTGCGGAGACTGTAATAGTTATGACTTAGTTATGAAATTCACAGGGCACGTGTAGACTGGTGCCTGAAGCTCACATACCAAAAATTGTGTTTGTCGTGTTTGTAGCGCCCCCTACAGGATAAAAAAAACAGCAGCCCCGGCGCCACGTTTCACCCATATGTACGAAACTCGGTAGGCACGTGTAACATGCCGGGACGTACAAAAAAGCCTCTTGGACCCATACCCGAAACCCCACAGGAAGTCAGCCATTTTGATTTAAAGTTTCACTTTCGGCGAACTTTTCGTGTTGTATTTGAACAAACTCCTCCTAGGGAATTCATCGGATCTGCTTCAAAATTTGTGAGTACAGTCAAAAAATGGTTCTGATTAAAAGTTGTGCTATTTGTGCATGTACGTTGAAGGGCGTGTCCTTGGCGTGCCCTCAAAGTTGGCCATAGTGAATTCCGTGTGCATTCTCTGTGAATTTTTTGCCTTGTATTTGAACAAACTCCTCCTAGGGAATTTATCGGATCTACTTGAAAATTGGTCATTACAGTCAAAAAATGGTGCTGATTAAAGGTTGTGCTATTTGTGCATGTACATTAAAGGGCATGTCCGTGGCATGCCATCAAAGTCAGCCATTTTGATTTTTTTGCTCATTTTCTGTGATTTTCCACGTTGTATTTGAACGAACTCCTCCTAGGGAATTTATCGGATCTGCTTAAAAATTGGCCAGTACAGTCAAAACATGGTCCTGATTAAAAGTTGTGCTATTTGTGCATGTACATTAAAGGGCGTGTCCGTGGCGTGCCCTCAAAGTTGGCCAGGTTGAATCGAATGTCAAACTGTGATCATATTTCCGGCATTTAAGGGCTTCTGTTTTAACTAACTCCTCCTACAGATTTTATCAGATTGACTTCACATTCGATCACTTCAATCTACACACATTGGTTATCAAAAGTTGTGCTATTTGTGACTGTATGTTTAACCGTGTGCCCGTGACGACGTGTCGAATTCCACCGATTGGCCATCAAACAGATAGTACTCATATCTTCAGTGTACAGTCCCACCCTGAACACGTCCTCATAACTTCAGCGTACATGATCCAATCTCAATGAAACTTCACGTGTTTGATAACAGTCCCACCCTGAACACGTGTACATGACAATATTCAGACATAGTGATAGCGCCACCTACTGGCAACAGGAAGTAAGCGCTGTGTGGCGATTTTGAGCTGAGTTACGTGAAATGACCGTGCCAGTGACGACTTGTCGAATTCAGCGGATTCGCCATAAAACAGCACTCATAACTTCAGTGTGCAATGTCCAATCTCCAGAAAACTTCATATATTCTGTAACAGTCTCGCCCTGAACACGTCCTCATAACTCTAGCGTACGTGGTCCAATCTCAATGAAACTTCACGTGTGTTACAACAGTCCCGCCCTGAACTTGTTTACATGACAATTTTAAGACATAGTGATAGCGCCACCTACCGGCAACAGGAAGTAACCGTGTGTGGCAATTTTGAGCTGATTTACGTGAAATTTCATGTTTTGGTCCGCACGTGTAACAATGGCACACGACGCGGCCGCAGCACGCCCCAAGTTGCGTGGAGTGCGAGGTCCCGCTCAAACGCTGTTTGCAGCTTTAATTAGGGACCTCGCAAGCGACCGCTGGAGGTCCCTATTGTATTTGCAATGTTTCTTCTTCTTCTTACCTATTATTATTTTTAGCCCCCATTAACTGCATTTTTGCCCCCCTGAACATATACGAAAAGTCAATTTTATTTGGCAAAGTGATCAGGCCTGGTGAAAATGGGGATATTACATGCGTCGCTTTCGGGTCTGCCACTAGGTGGCGCTACTATCATAAAAAATGCGTTTAGGCTAATAACTTCTGCATAGTTTGTCGCACATTCAAAAAACTTACATCCACGTGTTCGGTGAATGGAGCTGAATCTCCCCATATAAGCCCCGCCCACTTCCGCCTAGAATTTTTTTTTTTGTAGAGCGCAAAATGTCCATGAACTACTTTTAAGTGTTCCTCCTACACGCTTTTTTCGATTCGCACAAAATTTTTCACCTAGCACCTGGGGACCGCTCTGGCAAAAAAAGTAATTTGAACCTTTTTGAAATTTCAAAAAATAAGCGCGCTATAAAATTAAGACCTCCTGTAGATTTTTCGTCAAAAAAGGAAGAGGACCATTTCTCAACATTGGTATGTCCGACTGACATCAAACTTGGGTCCATAGTTCCACATGTCCTCTTTAGGCATTGTGCACAATTTCAGACCATCACCACAAGGTGGCGCTCTTTAAAATGAAGAAGTTTATATCTCTGCAACGGCACGTGTGATTAAAATGAAACTTGGTAGGATGCTTGCCCATGGCTCCCTGAGGCACGCCTAAAAAGGAAAAAAAATCAGGCCACTGGGTGGCGCTCTGGTGGCAGGGTAAATCACTGTGTGCAGACCGTAATAGTTATGAATATGAAATTCACAGGGCACGTGTAGAGTAGTGCCTGAAGCTCACATACCAAAAATCGTGTTTGTTGTGTGTGTAGCGCCCCCTACAGGATAAAAAAACAGCAGCCCTGGCGCCACGTTTCACCGATATGTACGAAACTCGGTAGGCATGTGTAACATGCCAGGACGTACAAAAAAGCCTCTTGGACCCATACCCGAAACCCCACAGGAAGTCAGCCATTTTGATTTAAAGTTTCACTTTCGGCGAACTTATCGCGTTGTATTTGAACGAACTCCTCCTAGAGAATTTATGGAATCTGCTTCAAAATTTGTGAGTACAGTCAAAAAATGGTTCTGATTAAAAGTTGTGCTATTTGTGCATGTACATTGAAGGGCGTGTCCGTGGCGTGCCCTCAAAGTTGGCCATAGTGAATTCCGTGCGCGTTTTCGGTGAATTTTTCGCGTTGTATTTGAACGAACTCCTCCTAGAGAATTTATCGGATCTACTTCAAAATTGGTCAGTACAGTCAAAAAATTGTGCTGATTAAAAGTTGTGCTATTTGTGCTTGTACGTTGAATGGGGTGTCTGTGGCGTGAGGGCAAAGTTGGCCACTTTGAATTCTGTCATCATACAAACTGATGGAAAAGTTGAGCTGTGACTGTACATTAAACCGCGTGCCAGTGACAACTTGTCCATTTCAGCAGATTCGCCATAAAATAGTACTCATAACTTCAGTGTGCAATGTCCAATCTCCAATAAACTTAATATATTCTGAAACAGTTTTGCCCTGAACACGTCC